CCTTATGAAATGAATATTACCTTAACATTTATATGTACTATACGCATAATAGTCTTTCTTCTTTGGAAAGCTATTTTTGGCCACTTGGGATATTTTCTCCTCTTCACATAGTGACTTCCCATGTAGTTTCAGAGATGTTTATTGCTCTTGTTCTTTGCCTGGCAATTGCTCCACAGCTTGAGGCCACAGTTCATTCAGAGCACTCTAGGGTGAAGCCATGAAGCCAGCACTAAACACCCTCAACTCTTGGCTCTCCTGTAGAAAGCTTGCAGGAGATAGGATGTCTCCAAGGTTCATCACATAAACCTTCCTATCTTCCCTACCAGTGCAAAATAGCCCCATAAATACACCGTGACACACACATTAAAAACTCAAATTGAGCTAACCTACCACAAGAGATCTGCTCTTTCAGCAGAGGACAAGAGAATAAACAACAGATGACAACTGTTAGGTTACACTCATCTTAAACCAACATAACTCCATGCTGTCACCAAATACAAACCCTCTTTCTTCATTCTGTCACTGAATCAGCAAGCTCATCCCAATTCATTGGAAAGCTGCACTACTGCTAATGGACATAGAAGAGAGTCAACAATGTAGGACAAACATATAGAAGAAAACACAAAAATCTAGTACTGATAGCAGTACTCAGTCCTGCTCAGATTAAAAAAATGCAAATAAAATTCATTTCTATCTTTTTAATCCTAATACTTAAGGACAAATTCAGCATGAATGCCCGTGTGCTTTATTCATTAGCAGTAAAATAAACTAAAAAAAGTCTTTCAGTAAAATAAATAGGATATAAAACAACAGAAACAAAAGTTGTAATGAAAGAAATACAAGTTAAATGAAAATCTCTCCTGTGAGGTTAGGAAGCAACCAGATGTTCTTCACTTCTGCCAGAAACTGAAGGTAAATCAGAAAAGGCATGTGAAGCTCTCAGCTGAAGATCTGTACTCCAGACACAGAAGTTAATTGGCAGCTAGCTTCTTCACAATAGTTTAAAAGATTTTAAAACCCGAAGGGATTAGCATGATCGACAGATTTGACCTTCCTTATACAAGAGGCCAGAAAATGTCATGCAGTAAATCCTACATCAAATCTCAAAACTTCAGAGCTAAAGTAGAATACATATTCAGCTAAGTATCCAGACTCAGCTTCCAAGATGTAAAGATATGAAGTGTTCATTGGCAGCCTTTAAAAACTGATCTACCTGCTTTTATTGATAATGGTTGCCTACTAGGTTGCTCAAGGAGGTTGTGGATGCCTCATCCCTGGAGGCATTCAAGGCCAGGCTGGATGTGGCTCTGTGCAGCCTAGTGGTTGGCGACCCTGTACATACCAGGGGCTGTTGAACTAGATGATCATTGTTGGCCTGGGTTGAAAAGGACCTTCTATGATTCTATGACTCTATAACCCAGTTTCAGTAGCCCTTTCTTCAACAGAAGTAGCCACTGCCATTAATTCCTGGCTTCCTATTACACTCTTTTTTTTCTGTTATTATTTTAAAGAAGTAAAAATGAAATTGTAATTTCAAAAGAGAAATAATAATGCCATCAAACTAAAATTAAAAAAAAAAAAAGAAAAAAAATACTCCACAGTGCTTATTATATGATTTTAGAGAAATTCTGATTGAAACGCTTTGAGAGAATTGTTGAGAGATATTTATATTAACATATTCATTAAGCACAGAATGCACTACTCATTGATTTAATCACCTTTCATAAGCTAACCGCTATTGCTATTCTTTGTCATCTTCTCTGCTTAGAGAGTATTCAGTGACATAACATTATTTGTTTTGCACAGCGTCCATCATTGCATTCAAAGGAAAAATTAACATTAGCTAAACAAGCAGCCCAGGAGAACTTGTGAAACTCTTCAGGTTTCCTGCATACACAATCACTCAAATCACTCAGTAAAATGTATTAGGAGTAAAACTGCTTTCTTCAACCTCCTCCCTTGCAGACAATCTGCAAATTTTCTAGCAGCTGCACTGAAGCCATTCAACTGGTGCCTAAAGTGAGCAACATATAGTAGCTCCAGGCGCTCACCAAGTCCATGGTACTGCCTGCGATACAAGAAAAATCCCTTTTTTCCTCTTTTTAATTAGTTCTTGAAGGAAGCCTTTTCCTGGCTTCTCCCTTGTATGCTGAGCTGCTTGCTCCCTGCTAGGCTGATGAGATCTTGTAACTAGGTCCTCCCTTGCAGTCTAATGCTACCAAATGCAGACAGGGAACCAATCCTGTACTCAAGTAACCATAAATCAGGATTCACTGATGTGATAATTTAGGAGCTTGCATTTTCAAAAGCATGTGTACAGGAATTGCTTATACAAACAAACAGAATTATAGAATCATAGAATCACAAGGTCATAGAATGACCTATAAGATCATCCAGTCCAACCATCTCCTCATCACCATTGCCACCACTAGCACTAAACCATATCACGCAGCACGTCATCCAGATGCCGCTTGAACACTGCCAGGGACAGCAACTCCACCACCTCCCTGGGCAGCCATTCCAGTGCCTGACCACTCTCTGAGAGAAAAAGTTTTTCCTTATGTCTAATCTAAACCTCCTCTGATACAACTTGCGGCCATTACCCCGTGTCCTGCTCGTTGCCTGGGAGAAGAGGCCAAATCCCTCTTCACCACAACCTTCCTTCAGGAAGTTGTAGAGTGCCATGAGGTCTCCCCTGAGCCTCCTCTTCTCCAGACTGAACAATCCCAGCTCCCTCAGCCGCTCCTCATAAGACTTGTGCTCCAGACCCCTCACCAGTTTCGTTGCCCTTCTCTGGACACACTCCAGGACCTCAACATCTTCCCTGTAGTGAGGGACCCAAAACTGAACACAGTACTCGAGGTGCAGCCTCACCAGTGCTGAGTAGAGGGGGATGATCACCTCCCTGCTCCTGCTGGCCACGCTATTTCTAATGCAGGCCAGGATGCCATTGGCCCTCTTGGCCACCTGGGCACACTGTTGGCTCAGGTTCAGCTGAGCATCAACCAACACCCCCAGGTCCTTCTCTTCTTCACACTCATCCAGCCACTCATCCCCATATAATAATAATAATAATAATAATAATAATAATAATAATAACAATAATGCAATGCAAAAACAGTTGTACATCTTTAAAAAGTGTAAGCAGGAACTCCCACCTAGCAAAACACTTACCAAGCAAATAAATGCAGCAATTTGAAAAACAGCAATAATAATGTTTGGCAACTAAGTGGATGTTTGCTTATGGAAATACCATAGACAAGTATCAGCCCTGCCACCCACTGCCTTCTTTTCCAAAGAAAAAGAATTTCATGGTCGTATATCATCATATTATAGAGAGCTCTCTGCAGCCTTTTTATTGATTAAAATGCAAGCAATTGCTGACAGGTTTGGTGGAGCATAGAGACCCAGTGCTTGCATCTACAGATGCAAGAGTAGAAGCTTCTCCACATGCACCTCAGGAAGACATGCTTTGAGGCTGTTTTTTTTAAGTTTTGAAAAAAAAATCTATCATAATAAGAAAACAACAAAAAATAAATTCCATAAAAACTCTCAAGTTCAGTACTTTCAGAAGGAAGTCTGTAACCATTAGCTATACTGTATA